CCATGATTTTTAATTTTTTATGTATTTCACTGGGATTATTTCCCAATACCCTAATAAGCAAACTTTCAGGGCAGCTAGATTTTAAGATCATAGTGCTGCAAGCCTTTACCCCAAATGTTACCAAAAAAAGGAAGAGTTTTCTCTATACTATCTGTGATATAAAAGGTTTACGTATTGTTGGTATATGTACTTACAACATCATTTTTGAGAATGTCTTTTTTGAATTGCGAAAAATATGCCTATATATTTGACTCTGCATAAATAATATTAATGAATAGTGCTAAGGCTATTGATCCTTCACTCTTATTTCCTTTAAAAAAAAGGTTTACAACGAAGATCGATTTCTAATTCAATATTTATTTTTTTTTTTTATTGAAAACAGTTTTCGACCATTTATTGTATACATAGATACGCACACAAGCACATTCGATTTTAACTAAGTTTCTCTGCTAATTAGAACTTCAAATAAGGCTAAGATACTATGTGTATATTAAGGTGGTCCAAAAATGCATGTGGAAAAGGTTAAGTCTGAATTTTAATGCTCTTACCTCCTATGATTGTTCTATAACGAAAAAACATACTCCTGGTTGCTTATTTTGAAATCAAAAAATATTGAGAAGCCGCTCAAAGCGCTCAAAGTTTTCCATGTATTTTATATGAGGAAGAAACAGTTTTTTGTAGAAATGGTGTAGAATTTTTTAAAATCAATATTTTTCGATAAGAAAACTCTTTTTCGCTTTAACCATTTCTTAATATTGACTATTTTTTATAGGTCCCCCAAAAAATGCAATAAAGGGACCCATAAAAAATCGTTATTAATACAAAGTTGTAAAATAAACAATTGGGTACTATTCCTTAAAGTCTTGTGAACAGAAACAGAGTTCACCAATCGAAAAATTTTGATTTTCAAGAATCATATCCTCCAAATATCTTTCGATAAATAAATCGAAATAAAAAAGGGACATGTTTTTTCGATGTTGAACAATCCTAGGGAGTGAGAGCATTAAAATTCCGACTTTACTCTTTACGTGCATTTTTGGACTAACCCAAGGTTCATACATATGTAGGTATGTAGGTAGGTGTTAGGGCTTGTTTCTAACTGTTAAATACTCGTTAACTAGAAAATGTCGAAGAAAAATGATATTCAAAGTTTAGACTTACAAACAAAATATGTAACTTCAAATGCTTTATCAGCAAAAATAAAAGAATTTGCAATATAATATAGCAACCCTAATGAATGGATTGTAAACTCAAATCCGCCTCTGTCTGCTTTTGTTTAAAAATTACTAACAAATTCTAGAAGTTTTCTACTCTATTTATTTAATTATTTTCTATGCTTCAGAGAAAAATAATATCCATATCGATAAAACGGCAGCAGAAACATTCTTTTCGGTATTTTAGTATTTGTCAAATATTTATTCAACGCACAACATCCGCTTTATTTGTATTTGTTTAAGTTGACCTTTTTTCACAATTTTGTTGGTATATGTTATGCAAATGATTTATTTACTGGACAACTACTTAAGAATCTTTTGGAGTGTGATTGAAGAGGGAAAACTTTGCAGGTGTTTCAGTAATTGCAATTTAAATTCGTATTACTATTATCACTTCGATTGAAAATTGCGAAGGAACATATTTTTTTTTTGGTTCGCATTAAAATGTGTGTGCAATCGATTTTATATACATATGTATGTACATACACATTTCTTCTTAATAAGCAAAAAAATCGTAAACTCTTTATTATTTTGCCAAATAGTGAGCCATTTTAGCGTCTTTCTGTCACATTGTTTTGCAACTTGAATATTCCGGCTGTGGTTTCGTCTTAATATGGCCATCACGTTTATGTATCTGGAATACAGAATAATCATTATTTTTTTTATTCATTGAATAACCCATAAAATTAATTCAAAATATCATTTAAAATATTCTGGTCACATAACTTTGCACACATTACATATATACACACATATGCATTTGTATAAATGTGGTTTCAAATGAAGAATTGACAGATTACTGCAAACGAAAAGTAAATGCATTTAGTACAGGTTAATAAAGTATAGAGAACGTTGTTCTTGGTAAATACACTATTTTCAGCCGACTTAAATTTTGTTGGAGATATAAGGATTTTCATGAGTGCGACTCTATTGAACTCGACAAACAATTTTCACAGTTTCTTTTATTAATTTTCTTAATACATACATACATGCATACAAAGTCACATAAATACATATTCATAAATAAACATATTTATTTGAAAATAACATAAAAACGCTTTTTTCATTTAATACAATAACTACATACTTACTTACTCGTATATCCGTAGTTTTGCTCATCTACATCATATCACAACACCGTTGCAACACCGCCTCTTACAACCCATACCATTAGTACCATTCGCACCAATGCCACCACCACACACACCCGCTGTCGATACTCGTACACAAATAGTTGATATTGTTGAACCACATGCGCAAGCATCTAATGGATATTCACAATATTGGAAAAACTTTGCTAACCCAAATCCTCTAAATCTGGTTTATAGAAATTTCGATGAAGACACCGACTTCGTACCACTCGAGCAACAACAACAGCGACAATCACAACAGGCACGTGCTGGTACACTGGATCTGAGGGACAAACCGTTTGGTAAGTAGTGAAAAAATTAATTTGCTTGGTTAAGTAAGAAAAAAATGTCTATATTTGACGACCACTATGTATTAATATAAATTCGAACGGTATCAAAAAAGTCGAGTTTAGCCTGTTCCCGACTCCAGGATTTAGTCAGAAATAGTCCGAAGTAGTCTGGAAGATTTGACTTAACTTTGTTTTTTATCACGGACCGAGAATGCGTCGCAGTTTTGGTTTATTCTGTCCGAAAACAAAATTTAATGCCACAAAAAGACAAACTGGAACAAGAATATTGAGAGCAGTTTGAACGGCAACAAAATGAACTTTCAGATAGACCATTTATGGATAAATTTTAAATTTTCTGTGCAAGAAAAGTTCGTGTCTTAAGTAATTCGTTGACTTTATTTGCACCATTATCTTTTAATTCTTTTCAAATAATTTTAGTATTCAAAGACTTCAAACTAATGGCACGCTACGAAAAAAAAATTTCTCGCTTCCGTTCTCCGTGAAGAGTTCAAAGAAGATTTGTTCTCGTTTCGTTCTTTGTCAGAAAGTTCTTGAGACCTTAGTTTTCATATCGTTGAGAGAAATTTCCTTTGATTTTTGTTTCCGTTTTGTTCTTGGCCAAAACGTTCCGGAGACTGTTTTTCCCATTGTGTCATCTTAGAGATATTCCTGCAAGTATTGCTCGCATTTTGTTCTTTTTGGTACCGTTCCCCACAATTTTGTTCTTATTTAATTCCCATTGAGAACGTTCTCAACAGTTTTGTTCTCATTTCGGTTTTGGTTTTGAAGCGTTCTTAAGTTCCTGCTTTTTATCGAATACGCCATGCAACTAAAACTAAAACATTTCAAAACACATGCTAATTTTAATCTACTCACAAAACTATGGACCAAATATTATAAAACCGTGTTTTAATTTTCCTTCAGGATTTCTCTTAGAAGGACTTTGAGATATACCTACACTCTAAAAAGTGCATGTAAAACGACTACAGAAAAGTGTTTATTTTTCAACCAGAATCTGTGTAAATATGTATGTATACTCAAAAGATGTTCAAGATTTGATTTTGAACATGAGATTTTAAAATACGCACATGAAAATTGCAATAATTATGAAAGTAAATATATATTTTTTACTAATAATAAACATTACGTGCTCATATTTATTCGATTTTAAAAATTGTTTTTGTAATTTTGCTCTACGCGACAAATTAAGTATGTGAAGGTAAACAGCCTGATAGTAATTTTATTATACGGTGTGTAAATTTGTACACATTAAAAGAGGAAACCGGTTACCTCCCTGCATATACGTAAATTTTATGTGTAAAATGTGAATTGAGTACAATAAATGTTCAGAATTCAACAAACAAATTTGAAATTTGTTCTACGCCACACATATGATAAGTAAAAGTAAGCAAGCAATGTTTAATTTAATTAACACGGTGGGTAAATATGCATTAATTAAGGAAACTGGTTACCTATCTTAATATGCGCTAATTTAAACAAACATTTTTTAGAGTGTAGTTCAAAAAAAATATTTAAAAAATTTAGTGAAATGTAGAATAACTATATGGGTATAAGAAAACAGATAAAATTTTCTAGAACGAATCACAATTAACTTTTTTGCTGCTTAAGGACGAACAGGTTTGACTGCAACTAATAAAGTTAGAAGAACGAAGTACTATAATGTGGTAGTGTACATATGGGAAAATCTTCGGAACCGTGCGATTCAATGCTAAAAAACGTAAATTTTCAAATTGAATGCACAAAAACAAAATCGATTGAGAAAACATTAAAATTTTGTGTGATTCATTTTTCTCAAATACTTAATGAGTTATAAGTAAAAAACGATAATTTTTGAAAACTCAAAGTTAGCTATATTTCTAGAGGTCGGGGTTTTGGTCCGATTTCAAAAATTTTCAAGGCAGTTTTAAGAAGGCGCAATGTGTATATCAAATTTGGTAAAGATTGGTGAAGTAGTTTTCGACATACTCATATTTGACATAAGTGGGCGGGCAACGCGCAGGCTTAATATTTAATATAAACATTTACTTGAGTACATTCGCGTAAATTGTTAGTAAGAAAACCATTTCTAGGAGGCATGCAGGGAAGCAATTTTTCACACCTTATTGGGTAAGCCTTTTAGAATGACTCACTTAAGATAACCTGCCTAATATATATACATATGTAGAAATTTGCTAACGATGGTAAGGCAAGCATTGAAGACCACTTAAAGGCGCCAAATATTGTTCAAAGTTACGTCGCATTCAAGATAAATTTGTTCTTTTATGATTAAAAGAAATTTAAAACTTGTGCGTTTCATAAAACACATCATCATCAATCATTCAGCTCTACGGCTTTTGCCAAAAAACTACATTGCTTATAATATCAGAAATTACTTTAAAATAATTCAACGCCAGAACCATAGCAACTGTACTTATAGGGAATATATTCGCACCATATTCATTTCTATCTTCGATCTAAGTTAAGACAAGGTTTATTTCTTTCTGTTTGAGCACTCTTCGAGTTGTAATATTCTTTTTCCAATAGTCATCAACTGGAGTTAAGGCTATGTGGAAATTAACTATAAGCCAGCGATATATAAATATACATAAGTATGTATGTACATACCTTACATAAAGTACAAATATTTCTAAGATCAAGCATTAATGCCAATGGGGTACTAAATTCCCGTAGATCTATAAGAGAAAATAATGCCCAAAATTGTTTTTTTTTTTAAATATGCCTTTAGTATGTATGCTCTCAGATGTAAAGTTCTTAAGACGAGATCTTCAAGCATTTCTTTTGTAAATTCTAAGTTATTTGTTTCTCCGGTAAAATTTTTACTTTGTCAAATAGGGTCTTTGGTATTGACGACCTCTATGCACAGAATTATTATTCACGTACGAGTACATATTCTATACCATTTATGTACCGTTATCTTACAGATGTTGATGTGGTGACAAGCGAGGTTAATGGCGGCAACCAAGGCCCTGGTTTGTTTTTCCAACAAACCTTCCCCTTCGGCAGTGATATCTTTAATCCATTTGTCGGTTTTGGATTTGGCGGTTCCCCGCGACAACAGTGGTGGAAAGGGTAAGTTGATTTTAACATAGAACAAAGAAATATAATGAGTTAGTTAATAAGTATATGACAAGAGGTATCTATAAACGGTTTTATCGCGAAAGTAAAAAAAAAAATTCTTTTTCTTCTTGAATAACGCTGAAACCGCCTAGGTAATGCCTGGTTATCATTATGTTATATGTATGTGACGTCAGTGTTGTCAAAATAATGAAAACGGTTGACATATAGTGTCATTGTAGTCAATTTTAATTACGTCCGCTCATATACATACATATGTAGAATGGCAGCTAAGTGAAAACGGCCTTTAAGCGATTTAGGCCGACTCTAACAAAGTACGCAATACGTTTCTCTTCTGTGTCAACTGACGCAATTGAATCGGTTAATAACCAAAGGGAGTAAATCAGTATTTTTTCGATATGCAAATTTTTATGCATTTTGGTTCGTTTAAGCTCTGTTGAACTGCATCAAATATGCCGGATCAAAAAAATTCTGACTTATTCCCTATGGTTATTAAACGATTTAATTGAAAATATCAAGTGCAGAGAAGTTCTTCTCCAACTGATCTTACCAACGCAGAGGAGGCCTTTCTCTATGTCTATATTGTTGTGAAGCTCATACAGCGTTTTACCGTCTGCGGTATTCGCCAACGCGTAAATACCCGTAAATCTTCCGTAGAATGCAGGTTTATAGCACATTCCATCTCAATATAAAAAGGTTCCTGTTTAACGTCCCTCAAATTTTGCATTAACTTTTCATTTTTTTTTGCTGGCGGATATGAAAAAAAAAATATTAGAACATTATTTGTGTGAAAGGAAATGCGAAAGGTCTTCCATAAAAAAAAATTGCAAAACTGAACGTAAATTCTATGCCACTTGGAGGGCTAAACCCTGCACACCCAACAGTTTTCTAAAAACTCTTAACAAAAATTTTAAATTTTAATGATATGATTTATATTTCTAAATGAAATAAAAAAATAAAAAATAAAAATAAAATTAAAACTCAAAAAAAGCGGATATACTTACCATAAACATGTGTTGTTTTGTAAATATTTTTAGTGAGTAATCTACCGACCTTTGCACAAAGCTGAATTTCGAAAGAAAGCGAGTTAAGGTCTTTCAATTTAAGTAAACGATAAGTATACATATATGTAAATTCAATTCAATTAATGGTGAAACTATGATTTCTTCGCTGCAACTACAAATATAAAAACAAACCACTTACTTGTAACAAAATGGCACGTATTTAAAATAATGAGTTGCATACAATCAAAAATGAGACGAACTAAGTGTGTATAAATTTGTTGCAATTATTTTTTCAATGAAGCTTCCGTGTTATTTTAACAACGCTTTTATTTTACTTTATTTTGACAAATTTTATGGCGCAGAGTATTTGAACTGAATCCAAACTCACGTACCTACTCATTTGCTTAAAAAAGCCCTAAAGCTAGAGTTTGCATTTTCAAAACACCAAACAACAAAAAATTTACTGCTCTCAATCATGACCACTCTCACATTAAAAAATACGACTTATTTATTTCGGATATTATATCCATTAAAATAATTGCTTTTATTGCATTGCTAATTTTAATAAAATTATAGTTCGACTTGCACACAACTGCAGGTACATACATATTTCTTTCAATAAATGTGCAAATATTCCTCATAAAAACTTTCATTTGTTGAAGTAATCTCACCGTTCGATCGCTAAAACGAAACTCAGAGAGAAATTAAGCAAATATAAAAACTTAAAAGTAAATAACAGTAATACGCCAATATTTGTTTAGCATAGCAAAAAGGTAAATAAATTAATACAAATAGCAGAAAGCT